AGTCTAGATGTATTTAAAATCATTAAGTCATCCCCCCATGCTGCTAAAACAGTTCAAGAGGATGCATCTATCTCCCACCTACGGCACAAGACATGCTATTGGTATTGCCTAACCAGCCGGGACCTTAATACTAGTGGGAGAATACGATGTAGCCTCCACGAGGAAGGGTGGGAGGCAGTTCAAATCTCTGTGTGTCCCCAGTGCGACACTTTCACTTTGAACCCAAGAGCAACCATGAAACAGGTTTGGTTGGAAAGCTCCTAAGACTTCTTTAGAAAGGTGTGCTGTGTGAAGATGATTCAAGTTCTGGGTGGGGACTAGCCACCAGTGGCATTAGGGCTCAGCTCCTGAGTGTCTCCCTACAGGAAGCTCCCACAGAAGGGGCCAAAAACAACTTCTGAAGTTCTACAGAAGCAGGTGAGGAATCCATCCTGGCCATCACAGAGGACTCTAGACAAGGGATGAGAGTGTGGGGGAGTCATGCAGGGATGGAGATGTATACTTGATCAGGGAGCCCCTCATATGGCAGCATGTAGACAGCCTAGAGGATCTGGTTCACTGATCCTCCCATTCCCCCCACAGTGAAAGGCATGTCACTATTCCATGTAGGCTACTTCAACTATTGACCCTTCTTCATGCTCCCACTTGTGGTATGGCTAGGTGCTAGGATCTGGTTTTGGCCCTGAATGCATTAAATGTGCACTACGCAAACAAAACTGCTGCAAGTCAAGCATCTGATAGGATACTCTGCTTGCAGAGTATCAATTATAAAGGTTTTAAACTCATAAGCAATTTTAGATTTGTTTACCGAAGTGCTTTAACCAAAAATTTGAGAGTGTAGTGTATTTAGGTAATTAATTTGTATATATTCCACACACAGCTTTGCACATCTCTTTCACATGCAAAGAACAGCAGAAAAATCTCTGAAGAACTTGCCAAACCAGTGACACGATCCTAAAGAGCTGCAGGGCAGGCATTTTGGTTTAGCTGTGCTGGTGGTGATCTTCAAACACACATACAATCCACTCCAGAAAACTCTCTCTCATGGTGACAGAATAACTAAGGGTATCAGAGCTGAACTGGGAGTTTGAACATATTGTTTTCGGCGGACCCATTCTCAACCCCCGACTGGGCAAGAACGCATTGAAGCCAGGTAGAAAGACCACCATACTGGCTGCAGCCATCATGCTCCAGAGTTTAGAGAGGCTGGTGTAAGCAGAAGGGTCCCCTTTGAATGTAGAAGGCTGCAAATATGCTGAATCTGAGCCTCTGGGTGCTTTCCGAATTGTGTTGGCGTAGCTGTTCTCTCCCAGCATGGCCTAGATGAGTCAGCTTGGCATCAGCAATGTGGGCCTTCTATACACAAGAAGATGGGGGAGGCATGTTTGCTCCAAGCTAGTCAGATGTTCCACGGGTGCTGGGGCTCAAAACCTGTTTGCTCCTGAACCAGACAGGCTTCCGCAGAGTCAGAGAAAAACAATGTTCCATGGCAGAAGCCACAAATCAAAGATTGTGTTTTTACACAAGCTTTGCTTATCAACTGACAGCAACAACAAGTAGAGATGCTGGGAAGAAGAAATAAATGTTTCACTTCCTTTTAAAAGGAGGGGTATTCTAGGGCATGACAGATGCCTTGATAAAAAAAGGCCTTGATAATGTTTAACAATTGATAAATCAGCCATCACCTCAACATTTACCATTCTTTAACCTTTGCACTTTAAATTATGTCAAATGTCCATGTAAGACTGTGGACAGCCACTTGAATAGAACCAAAAACTGTTAACACAAAAAACTTTATTGAAAACGTAAAGGAAAAGACAAATTTGAGAAAATAAGCTGTTTACTTTCAAGATTATACAGACCTTTTGTAACATGAGTTTGCTCTAACCCTGCATAATAGGTTAAGCCACATTAAAAGTACTTTGCAGAGACCCACACGCTAAGTGAGGAATTTGATAGTTACGTTGCAATTAAGCGGAGAAGGAGGTTCTCTCCCTACTGACTCTGGCAGCTCCCTGGTCTCTCAGGATTGCACAGAGTGTAGTTTTCTGGAAATCATCAAAAAAACAAAAAATTTAAATTTAAATCAGTCCTTTTGAAAGTGAACATGACGGCAAGGATGTTAGTGGAAGCCATTTGCGGACAGCTCAGTGAAAACTTCTGCTCAGTGAATGGTGGCAATCAGAAAATAAAACGCTCTGATGTTTAAGGAATGGAAGAGAATAGTAAAAATATTATAATGTGAATATATAAATCAATGGTATGAGACACTTCATGTGAACACTGTGCTTAATTCTGGTCACCCTATCTCAAAAGATATAGCTGAAGTAGGAGTGCTCCAGTGACGGGCAATAAAAAGATTCGAAGCCAGAACAGACTTTGATAAGAAAGGACTGAAGACACTGGAAGTGTTTAGCTGAAACAGGAGAAGTGCAAGAGCAGTCATGATGAAAGGAATATAAAATAATGAGTTACAAACAAGTAAAAAACAACACTCCTAAAACAAGAACAAGGGAACATGCCATGAAATTGAAAGAAATTTTGACGCGTAAGGAAATACTTATGCAACACAATTAACTTATGGAACACACTGCCTCAAGATATCACTGAGCGTAGTGGGGGGGTGACCCTGAAAAGTTTGGGGACCACTGGCTTAGTGGCGCTTATATATCACTGCTTGGGTTAGGAAGATACTTCTTGCCTGGTATGTCATTCCCCAGTCAAGCAGAGGAATACACCAGGTTCAGTTAAGTGTCAGATGGGATACTTGACTAGATGGACCACTTGTCTGAGCTGGTAAGACCAGGCCTATGCTCCCAACTAATGTTTCCATGAAGCCAGAGTTACAGTTTTGGAGAGGTTTCAGAGTAGCAGCCGTGTTAGTCTGTATTCGCAAAAAGAAAAGGAGTACTTGTGGCACCTTAGAGACTAACAAATTTATTTGAGCATAAGCTTTCATGAGCTACAGCTCACTTAGAGATCCCACATACACACTTTTGCAGACTGGGCTATTCTTTTTTCTGTTTCCCCCCAATCATCCTGGACCAATGTATTCTCTTGTTTTGTCATAATCTTAGCCCTCTTCCAAAATGAAAGTCCTCTTTTGAAGAGAAACTAGTGCTGTGAAACAAGAGTCAATGGTGATGTATTCAGGGTTTTAGGGTTTGTTTGTTTTTTTTTAAATAGATAGCACATGAAGTGATCAAGCTGATAATTTCAGTTACAAATCCTTTAAATGAGTTTATGAAAGACTTACCAACTGACTGTGATAAAAGTCAATCAAAAGGGGAGCTTTGAATAATTCTTTCCAGCACAGAAAACAAAGGTATTTTGTGACCCACTGCAGAGATAGCCTCAGTCCTTACACACAATCACCCCAAGGTATGTCTACACTACAGCCTATGTCGGCAAAACTTATGTCACTCAGAGGGGTAAATATTCCACCCCGCTGAGCGGCATAAGTTACACGAATAAATGCTTGTGTGTACAGTCCTATGTTGGTGGGAGAGCTGCTTCTGCCGCTCGCGGAGGTGCTTTTCATGCCAATGGGAGAGCTCTCTCCCGTCGGCATAGAGCGTCTTCACCGGATGCGCTGCAGCGGCAGAGCTGCAGCACTTTACATATAGACATACCCTTATTTTCATTTGATATATCCACGAGACACCACCCTACTGCTTTATACGTTCTCATGCCATAGTTGCAAAGGCTGTCATGAAGCCTCCCAGCACTGATCTCTTCCAACCTTCTCTCCCCACGTCCTTCCATCTAAGCACTTATCCTGCATTCTGTATTTGCCTTTGGGACAATAGGTTTTGTAAAGTGAGTGCATATATTTATGAGGTTACAGAAATAAGTCTAATGAAGAAGTAGGGAACCAGAGGTGGTCGTATAATACAGCTTCCCTGTATGGCTATTTATCAGTTATAGCTGCCTCTTGCTTGTACAGAATCTTAAAATATCTCTGTCAGAGATATGTGGAATGTCTCCCCCCATCATACTCCAGCTGCTGAAGATAACAGGGCTCTCGCCGAAGTGCAGTAGCAGTCTGCACAGGGAATCATTCATGTGATCTCAGAGAATGGCTGGAGATGTGGCAGGAGCGGTTATCTCACTTGGGTTATTCTGGTATTATACCAGCACTGAACAGGTAGAGCCTAGAGTGAAAGACTACCCTAAAGAGCCAAACAGTAGCTTGAACAGGAGGTGGTCATCTGATTCTTCGGGTACATCTATACATGGATTTAAAAACAGAAACAGCGACTAGCCTGGGTCAACTGATTTGGGCTCGCAACGCTCGGGCTCTGGACTGAACAAATGTTATGTAGATGTTCAGGCTCGGGCTGGAACCTGAGCTGTGGAACCCTGCAAGGGTGAAAGGTCCCAGAGCTTGAGCTCCAGCCCAAGTCTGATTGCCTACAAAGCAATTTTTATCCCCGCAGCCCAACTCACCTCACCCGGGCCAGCCATGGCCATGCTGCAGGTCTTTTATGCCTGTGCAGACATATACTCAAAGACCTCATGGCAACAGGGTCTTTGAAGACTGAAAAAGGAGGCTGTCTGATTCTTATACTTTATTTTGCCACCTAGCTATTGCTTGTCAAATGCAGAAAGTAATTAATGCAATACTGCACTGAGACCTAGGAGATACCTGGGTATCTTAGAAAGCTAAATTCCTGATGGTAAAAGAATGGACCATCACTATAGTAAACAGAATTTCTTTGTGGTAGCACATCATTCTAATCATGCACTTTTTTCATACAGAGCTGGTCCAAATTAGTCAAGCAAACCATTTTTATTTACTGTGTTTCATTTAAAGGAAGCATTGGAATGATTACTGAGGCATGCAAGACTCCATCTAATGGCATCAGAAACTGGCATTTGTCATTCCAAAAAACAGCTCTGAAGTAAGACTTCCCAGGCTCAGTCTGGTTCATAAATAATGTTGAGATGATAGCTTCACTCTACAGAGGCAATAACGAGAAACTTTCAAAAGCACCTACCTTGTGCAAGGGCAGCACCAGGAACGCTCCACCACCACTAGCTTCTATGATTATTGCAACAAATTTGGGGTTTACTACACAAAAGGAACTATCCCAGGTAACACGGGAAACCCGGATGTCGTCATAACACTGGTCATTTTTCACTGCTTGCCCAAACACATGCCGAAATTTGCTCTGTCGTACCACTCGCCTCATTGTGTCTGCGGAGAAAGAGAACAGGAGTTTCAGAAAAACTTGGCCAGTTAAGTGCATGTTGTCTGGTCTGTTTTTCTAGAACCCGCCTGCCTACATACGCTAGCGAACTCAAAGAGTCAGACAAGTACCCGGTATTGCAGGAGATGCAGCAGCTTTCATTCATTACTCCTACGCATACAGATGCCCAGTTTCAGATCCTGACCACTCTACAGTTCAAATAGCGCTCGTAACAACTGGTTTTAAAGGGTAAGTTCTATTTTTTTTTAAATAAGACTTCAGAATTACACTGACTTGTACCAAGCATAACAGAATTAGATTTTTTTAAACCAATATTGTATTTTACAACAAAAATGGTAAGACTAATTTTCCACAAAGAATGGCATTTTCCCTATTGTGATTTTTTTTCCTTTTATTCCAGTAAAAAAGCACCCAACTCAATGGATTTTTAAGGTAAGTTTCTACATAATTAAAAATCATTTGGGGGCACGGGATGAGAAATGTATTTTGTTTTTTGATTACTTTATTTACTTTCCAGGAGAGTAGATAAAACTCTCAGAAACAGGTACTTCTGTGAAATGGTTTCACAAGCTAGCTAGCTTACTTTATACTAACTCAAAAATCTCATTGAAAATAAATTTCTTTCCTAAGCAGGGAGAAGGGAAGCAAGCTAATGACTTGAATTAACTACTCTGAAATCTTGAATTAACTTTGTTAGCTTGTTTGCATTGCTCCTCCTCTGCCTAAGAAACTAATTGTCTTGAGTTAGAATAGAGGGAAGTTGACTGGCATGGAAAATTCCAGCCCCCTGCCTCTGCATAGACCGCAGGGGGGTAACACTCCATAGGAACACTGGGTCTCAAGGGGAGTGAGTGGCAGTATATTTTCCATTAGCATCTCCAGCTTCCAGATTGATCCCTTCTGAAACTTACCAAAAAACATCAAAGGAGTCCTCCCATCGTAGGAGATTTTCTCCTCCACAATTTATCAGTTCATAGGTAAGTGAGGAACCTCCACGTACCTTCTTGCCTTTAGAGATGTGAAAAGGACTTCTGCAATGCCCAATCTCTGAGCAACAGAAATCAGAGTCTTGCTCTAAGTTTGCCTCTCCATAAGTCCATGGTTACACACCAGGATTGGGAAAATGCTGCTCCAGTTCACAAAGCTACTTGTTAAGGAAATACTGGTTCTGATTATTCCTGCAGTGAAGTGGTAAACTGAAATGCTTTTTCACACCACACAGTGGGTGTACTTATGTGTGCATAGTCTGCCTGCAAGCAAAAATTGTGAAAGGTTACTCAAAACACATCCCATTTTTACTTCCAGAACTCTGCACGCAAGTACACTGCAAGACAGGCTTAAGAACTGCTTATTTGTAAAAAAGTCTGGGAGCTAAAAAGTTAATGGTCTGTACATCTGGAGTAAAGCTCTCACCAGAATTGGCCAAGTAGTTGTACAATTAAAAGAACATTTATATCACTCTTAATAGAAAACTCAATTACTCAGTGAAGTACCTCAAGTTTCCACATAAATATGAGAAATTCTCTGCAATTTGTCTCTTTCCTGCAAAATCCCCATGCCTGGGGTGACAACGTCAAACACCGAGCACCAGAACTCAGAGCAGGACATCTGCACAGCAGACTTGCCCCAAATCTAAAAAATCTACAGATTGAGCAGACCATACATTTAAAGTGAAATGGTAGCACTGGTTAAATCTGCTGGACTGACCGCACTGGAGAACGAAGCCACTGGTTCACAGAGACACACCCCATGCAGCAAAGCCAAAGCAGCGAGCAGAAGCTTCTACTAAATGCCACACATTGCCAGAATAAGGCAGGAGCTCGCCTCCATGCCCAGGCACTCATGGGTTTCCTTTCAGATATGGATAATACATGTCCCAGTAACGGTGGTGATTTCTGCAATGTGGATCTCCGTCTATCTAGGAATAGGATAGAGACCACCAACGGCTTTCACACAGGCCAAACAGCTGTCGGATGGTAATGACTTGCAGCCACTGATGACCTTAACTGAGTTCAGACCAGCGACCTAGAGGCAAAAAGCTCTCGAAATTATTCCAAGTCTCTTGACCTATCCAGTCCAGACTTTTTTTTTTTTTAAAAAGTATTTCTCATTAGTATTAGTTTTATTGTACTAGCATCAAGCAGCTATTCAATCTATCAAGAACATAATGAAATTGCCCAAATAGTTAGCCTTGCCCTCACTCTGAAGAAAACTAAGGATGACCAGACAGATTTACAGCTCAGCTTCCTAGAGTCTCTTCTCCATCAGATAACATAACCCAAACCACTAGATCGTGGATAGATTCACCCATTTTCAGGTCTCTCCAATTCAGCCAGGAAACCTAAGTGATTGTTTAAGACAGCACACAATCTCACCTATGCATCTACAGGAGGGGGAGGGCTATTTTCCTCCGGGCTTCACTAAATTTCCCACAATAAATTAGCTGGTTTTGAACGACAGAAGTGCCACAATTAGCACTTTATTACAAATGCCTGTAGCTTAAAAGAAAAGCAGCTGTTTTAAAAATAAAATTTTATGAACAACTGGTGAATTTGAGATCTAGAGAAAGGCAGCACTGCAGAAAAAGTAAGGATGGTATTATTAGATGGGGTTATGCCTCCTCAACACTTACGAAGTGAATAACTGAAAATTAACAAGCTAATATCCAAACGTTTGTTAAAATATGCAGTATGTGTAGCAAAAAGTCTAAGAAGGGGCCTTATCCCAAGCTCCACACACCTCTGACATAAGTTGCGCAATCAGAATGAAAAACCCAAGTGACCCACAAACACGAATAACTTTTTTACACACACAAGCCATAGCAGCACCATGACAGAAAACGTTCAGATCTGTGCAGCAGCCGCAATGGAACCGCTGAAGCCTGACATATAGAATAGTTTTCATCCAGCAGGAGTCCAGAGCACATTAGAAACAAACTAATATACGAACTGGCAGATCCCCTATCACTGAAACACACTCATCTGTGCGATGAAATACCACAGCTACTCTGCCAACAATGCTGCAGTTTTTTCAGAGAGGAAGGGAAAAGCAAGCTGTCCCAAGCTGAATTGGCAGGGGGAGATACGCTAAATAGACCTGTATGTAATAATTTAAGGTTGGATTCTGCCAAGACAACAGGAAGGCAAGCCTACTGTTTGAGAAGTGGCATGGGAATTTTAATGACCCCAAACAGGAAGGAGTGTTCAGAGCAGGTGACTGAGTCAGGAGACCCTGGTTCCATTCCCAGTTTTGCCACAGACTCACTGTGTGATCTCAAGCAAATCACTTATACCGTCTGTGCCAAAACGCACCTGTCGTAAGCATTTCCAGCTGCTGGAATGAATGCCCCCAGGAAGGGCCAAGGATTGTACAAGTAAGTTGTCTGGGTCTCAGTTAAGATGAGTCATGTAAAAAATTCAGTATCTCACCTAACTAGTAATTCACATTATTAAATCTTTTAGATCTGATCAACAGCACTTCTAAAAAGACCCTTATCTGGTACTGTGGTAGAGCCTTAGTCATGGCCCAGAACTCCACTGTGCTAGGAGCTGTACAAACATAGGGCGTTTCAGTACAAAAAGTTACCTTTAGGAGGCCATGTCATCATTCCAATCAGCAGTTAATTGCACAATGCCAGCAACTTGGAGAGATGCACAATTAAGACACCTGCTTTTACCCTGGCTTATTTATGTTACACCTTAAAAACAGACAATACCTCAAAATAGGTAAAATGTTCAACAAGAGTATTACTGCCCCCAAAATCTTCTTCTCCAAACATGAGAGCTCAATATCTTCATTTCTTTTTTCCCTTTGCTATTATTCAACACTTAAACTGACACTGACTTGCTGTAAAACATTCTGGTATACAATTTATATGAAAGATATGATAAGTATTGCTAATTCTCACAATTTTACAGTAAGTCTCTCAATGTGTATTTTTAAGCCTCAGCTCCTGGAGTCCTGTGATTACGTTACGATTACAGCTTTCCAATTACCCCTGCCCCCAGACTTTCTAACCCTCATGATTGCACAGAAAAGCCTCAAAACATGAATTCTAGGGACTCAGAAACCAGAAGGTAACTATAAAACTCCCCAGATTTATTTTTATAAGTATCATTGTTTTTAAGCCAATCTCATGATTTTGAAATGCTTGGGGTTGGCAATACTGCAGCTTTCCAGATTTTTATAACCCTCTGCTCTAATTTTGATGAAACTTTCTTCTCTCAACAGTCACTCGCTTCACATCTTGCCAGGACACACAGGTATTGCACTTAGGAATTAGCCAAACCCATTGATGGGGAGAAGATAGAGGGTTGCTCTCAAACACCATGTGTTGCAATAACTAGACCCAACCGGAACTGTGCACACTCAGCTCAACTATTTCTCACCCGATAACACATCTCACAGGTACAATGCTCTGCAGCAAAGTTTTACTTGCTCATTTACATGGGGTGAGTAATTTCTTCTGATGAGCAACTAAAATATTAGTCATCCAGGTAAGACAGGCGAGCAGGGCAGGCTTTGTATATGTTTTCAGGAAGACACTGCAATACTGTTCATTGTTTAGCATTCTTCCCACTCCACAGTGGGTCAAAACATTAAAAATCTTGTTTTAGAAAAGTAAAGCCAGTACTTAAAATCTATGTTCCTGCAAGTAACCCCAAATTGCCCAATCTCAGCACACCATATACAGGAATTTTTCAATTTGTTGTCTTTAATACTGGGAACAGGGACATGCTAGTAAAATGTAAGATTTACTGTGTATACAGCTTGCACAAAAATTTCACCTGGTTCACAACGAGACCCCACCAAAAAAAAGTCAAGTTCTCCAGCTTACAAATCTGATGCCCTTAATTCTACTATTCTTCCCTGACCAACTGCTGAAAAATTCCCTTCTCCCCAGTCCCCAGGGTGAATTTCCCTCATTTTAGTCATCTTTAGAAGTTAGCCTCATTTAAGATCTTTCTGCTCAAGAAGCACACCTTTG